TGAGCAATTTAAAATGAGGCAACGCTGGGTATGTAAATCCTGCTTTATTGGCGGTGGTGGCAGCCAGCTCATTCTTCTGAGATGCCGACCAGGCCGCAGTCTGGTGGCTGCGGGGCTCCGAGCGCTTCAGTTCCAGGCCGCAAGGCGGGCGTGTGGGACAACAGCCGCTTTCATAGCTGTTTTCTGGCTGTGGGCACGGTGGCAGCACAAAGCATTGTGCCACCACCCTCCAAACAGATATTTCACCCGCCCTGCAGTTCCGGAAAGGAATCTGCTATGAAACTTTTAAATGTTTACAAAGTTGGATGACCAACGCAGTTGTGGTGGTGGTGTGCTGTACTGCTCCCAACCCGCTTTGTTTCCCCGCCCATTTTTATTTCATATCGGTTTGTGTTTCACACTATCCTTTATTCCATTGTGTTTCATACAATTATTCCCATTCATTATGTTTTATAAAATTAATCATCGTTGAACGATGATTCCATCCCGCGTTTAAGGGAGCTCTGGTGCCCCAGTGGTAAGAAACTGCACTACAGTCTCAAGGGCATAAGGTTCGAATCCACCAGTTGCTCCAGGGGAGAAAGACAGGCAGTCTCCTCCCCAGAGATTTACTGCCTCTGTAAACCTGCCGGAGGGTCAGCTATGAAAGGGTTCTGGCTCATGGTACACAACAATAACAACGCCGCTTTAAAAAAACAGCAGCTGACAGGAGTAAGGGAAATGGTGAGAACAATACTAAGGAGGAATACAGAGCCAATGTCTACCGGGAGACTGGACATTGTTTAAGAGACAGGACAGGGCGATAGCTCTGTGCAGCTCAGCCACCAGGCCAAGGCCTAGGAGGGGGCGGGGTCGTGTGGAGGCCCCGCCCACACACAGAGCTTGGTCACCGTGAACTTTCCCAGGACACCCAGCCAGGGAGCTCGCTGGGGGGCTTTACTGAATTCAGAGTGAGCTGAGTTATATACCAGGTTCCCAAAGGTTACAGGGACAGGCAGGTGAGCAAGAGAGAACAGCCGCAGCACCCCAGTGGAATTTGTTTTGGACTTTACCATACTGAGTGTTAACTCCTAGGAAAATGAGGGGTTGGGAAGCTGCAGAACAAGTCGGCACTGGCCGAAATATGTGGCCCAGTGTCCCCGTCCCTGCGCTTTCATCGCCCCCCCTCCCGCTTCTCTCAGCCTGACTATGCCCGAACCTGCCCGGGTAGAGAAAGTCCTGTGAGTGAAGAGGGTTCCCAAACGGCAAGCCACCGGGTCTCCTATCATTGGGCTCTGCTCTTCAGCTCCAGAGCAGCAGAAGAAGGAGAGGACGTCTCAACTGAAGAGACAGAGGCTGGTGTTTGAACATCTTAAAATTGTACCTCTAGGATGGAGAATGAGTGCAGTGGGACAAAAGGGACTATTTCAGGGTCTTCTGCAGGCCAGTTGTTAAAATTTGGGCAGATCAAGTTGTCTATTTCCCCACATCTTAACCCCCAGAAAGAACAGACAGACTCTGGCAGGCAGGAATTCTCAGACCATCCCAGTAGGAGAGCAGCGAATCAATGCCAGGGGTGATGAAGAGAGAGTTGGAGGGGCAACAGGGCCCCAGAGCCTGTTAGCTGCCCTGGAGAAGCTCCAGACTTAGGGAAACACGCAAATACTGGCTGGCCCTTAGTCATCCCTGTGATCAATTGTGATCCATTGAATTTTAGTTGGCTCGTACTCTGAAGCAGGCCACTAAGTTTTTCTTCCTAGTCCATTTTCTTTTTTTTTCCCCCCAGTGCATTTTGGTTTGGAGCCCCTCTGAAACCTATTCAATACCTCATAGAACACACCTCTGGTCACTGTGCATGGTTCAAGGCAGGACAAGAATTCCACCACAGAATGAGACTCAGCACTAGAGTTTAGTGGGAAGTGAATTCACTTATCTGGGTCTGTTGGTCTCATGTATGGGTAAAAATCTGCCTGTTATTTCCAAGTTCATGAAGATTTACTTCACAACGAGAAAGCCTTGCAAATCATTCTATGTGTGCCTCATCCAACTAGGAGTTTGTAGTTCTGTCTTACATAGTGATATTGACACCAGCCTTCCCTTTCCCCAAAGTTGAGCTCAGGCCACGCTTTGCAAGAAGTGATCTCTGATCATCTTCATCACATCATCCTCGGGGATCCTGTCAAAATTCACATTCTTGGATCTCATGCAAAGAATCAAGGAAGTTGATTTTTGTTGTTTGTAGGTTTGTTGTTTGGTTGTGGTTTTTTTTGTGGTTTTTTTTTTTGTAAATTTATATCCCCCCTCCAACTTTCTTTTTTTTTTATTAAGGAATAACCATAAATTCAGTCAAATGCTCTTAAAAATTTGCTAATCATGTACAATAAAGATTGCTATATAGAATATCTCTATTGTCCTGTGAGGTTCCCACCTGTTCTTTTCAGACTTACCTCCTAGGGTAACTCTGTTCTGATGTCCAGCACCAGAAGAATTCACTTGTGTTTGAACTTTATTTACGTTGAGTCACACAGGACTTTCAAATTTCATTTCTTTCAGCCTTGCTGTTGTCAGTTGCTGACTCACTGACCCTCCATCTGACAGAGTAGAACTGTCCCATAGCATTTTCTAGGCTGTGGTCTTCGTGGGAGACGTTCACCCAGCTTTTCTCCCAAGGACCTGCTACATGTGTTCAAACCACTGACCTCAGCAGCTGAGAACTCAGCTCTTTCACAACCAGGGCCCTTTAGTTTCAGCACTGTGTTTGTGGGAATCATTCCTATCACTACTTCTTGCTGTTGTTGTTGTTGTTGTTAAATACTGTCGCTTCATAAGTGACTCAGAGTTGACCCTCTAGTGGATTTTGAGATGCAGCAAATTGCACGGGAGGAGATTGCTTCTCTTTCTCCCATGGAGCAGCTGTTTAATTTGAACCATGTATCTTTAGGATGGCAGCCCAAGTCATTATAACTAAGCCCCCATAACCTCAACTGCTGCTGGTAGTAGTAGCTAATTTTTCTAGTGTAGTATCCTACATTATGAGTACCACTTATTAATTGCCATCATGTCAAAACTGACCCTCCAGTGGGTTTTCAGAAGCTGGAAATAGGACAAGAGAAGATTGCTCATCTTTCTGCTACAGAGCTATTTGTAGACAGCCAGAGTGGTATCACATTTGGGTTAGAGGAGCAACTCCCTACAGGCTACACAAACAGAGGACCCTAGAGAAGAACATGTTAGTCATCCAGGGAGCTCTGGTGGCTTAATGGTTAAGCACTTGTGCTACTTCCCAGTAAGCAGCAAAGACATGTGGTTCAAATCCACCAGGAGCTCTGGGGGATGGGAGGAAAGATGGGCCATCTTTCCCTGTGAAATTTATTGGCCCTGAAAACCCACTGGAGGGTCAGATCTGAGTCAGTTCTGACTTGATGGTACATAACCACAAGGAATTAGTCGTCCTATTCTTAATGGTTGTTTGGTTTGTTTTCAGATTTTTCTATTATAACAAAACTGCTATGAGGATTTGTTTATCATTTGGTGGCCATAAGCACTCATTATCCTGTGTCACAGAATAAGTGTATGATTCCCCACCAATCTCTGGCACTTCATAAAGCAAGAGAAGAGCTTCGTAATGTTTTATAATAATATTCTTGTTGTGTAGAGTCAGATCTGACCCATAGACCCAAAATCCCTCCAGTGGATTTTCAGAGACAGTTAATCACATGGGAGGAGATTGCCCATCCTCCTCCTCCTCCTCCTCCTCCTCCTCCTTCTTCTTCTTATTTGTGTGTGTGTGTGTGTGTGTGTGTGTAGAAGTGAATTTTATTTGATGTTTAGAAAGGAACCATCTTTCTTCTGAGGTGTAGTCAGTGGATTTGAACTGAGTGCACTTGTGATTGCAGCACAGCTTCTTGCCACGAGGCCACCAGAGCTCATTATAATGATTTTAGGACTCATGTAATTGAACCCCCTCATTCTGTTGTTAGCATCATTTAATGACTGGTGGATATGGAAGGAGATCTGGTGGTATAGTGTGTTGAGTTTCTAACTGAGAGATTGGCAGTTGGAATCCACAAGTTGTTCTGTGGGAGAAAGATTTATAGCCTTGGAAACCTAATAGGAGGTCACCATGAGTCAGAATAGATGCAAAAGCCATGGGATTTTATGGTTTTGTTTTAAATTAGACATGGTTCTTGATGTGAGAGTCTGTAGGTCTGTTTGTAAGCAAAATCATCTTGGAAAAAGAGGTGTGCTGCTTCTGGAGAGGATCAAAACATGGAGGGAGAGTGCATTGCTTTTATTCTGGTTACCTTTAGTAAGCAAAAGGAGTCCCTTGCTATTCAGAGGCACAACTGAGTGACAGGAAGTGGTGAGGTTGTGGTGAAGAGGGACAAAACATGCTTAGTGTAATATGTGAATGTGTGTGTGTGTGTGTGTGTGTGTGTGTGTGTGTGTGAGAGAGAGAGAGAGAGAGTGTGCATGTGTGTACGCATCTCAGCCATTCCTTCCTTGGCATAACCTTAGCCCACAGCCCTCTCAAACCTTGCTGTTCACCCAATTCTGATTGGTAAAGACTCACAGAGTGCAATTACCCCTTGAGGTTTCAATGCTGCAATCCTTATTGAAGCAGATTGCCACATCTAACTCCCTTGGAGTGGCTAGTAACTTTGAACCAATCTATAGTCTTTCAGTTAACAGCTCAATGTTGTCACCACTGTGTAACTATCACTCCTTAAAGACTGGATGAAGTGATCTTAGATGCTTAGTGGTAAGGCGTTGTGCTGCCAACCCAATGGCATTCAGTTTGAGTCCCCCAGCTGGTCTGGGGGAGAAAAAGGGACAATCTCCTCCTATGAAATTAACTGCTTCAGATAACATGCTGGAGGGTCTGTATGTAACAATAACAACAGATGTCTATTTGCAGTATAACCATTAATTAAAAATGTGCATTAATTTTGTGTGTTTAATAAAATACAACATTTATAATTATGAGGCTAACTCAGGTTAAAATATTTTTCACCTTGTAGGCTGGCTATGATGGTGAGAGCATTGGAAATTGCCCATTTTCTCAGCGTCTCTTTATGATTCTCTGGTTAAAGGGAGTAATATTTAATGTGACCACGGTAGACTTGAAGAGGTAAGATAAGGTTTCTACATTATTGGAATTACTATACCTAATTCCCTAAACACACACACGCACACACACACACACACACACACACACACACACACAGATATGCCCTGGCCCATGTGAGAGTGAACACACACTTTCACCTGTGTGACTACATATGCACACACCACACACACATACATTTTCATTCACACACAATCATATATCTGCACACATAGATACACCATATCTACACATACACCTCCTCGCAAACTGACACATACAGATGCACACACTACATACTTTCATATGTTCACCATGAGTACGCATAAACGCATATCCACAAGATGCACATACCTCACATTGGCACATGCACACAGATGCGTGTGCACACACTTATGCACATATGCCCTCATGGGTTCACAGTCATGTGCATATACTCCTTATATACTCAAGCACAAAGGTCCATACAACCATATCCTCATATATGCACACACAGCAATATACCCCAGACCATGACATGCACGTCAATGCACACACATGAGCAAACACCACATTCACATGTGTAAACAAACTCACCTGCATACACACACACACTTCCTTAGGACCCATGGACTGCCCCATGAAAGAAGTCCATTCTTGAGCTGAACCATGTATGTGGGATGTACATGTTAGATGAAATGGGATGCAACCTGGAACAGAAGGGGCTGGGACATGATGAGGAAGCTGGTATACTGTGCACCCCTCGAAGCCTAACCGAGCCCCTCCCTCAGCTGAGTGCTGGGGGGGCATCATTCATCTTTCACCTCTGTATCCAGAGCAGAACAGAATCCAGTCTATAATTCTCTCACAGATGCTTTTGCCTCTGTTGTCTGTAAAACCCTTTGCCAGCTCACAATATCCTTTCTCAAGTAATATCTCTGTACACTGGAAAAGACACAGCTAAGCACTGGAAGTGGATTTAAATGTAGACCCATGCCTACAAACACTGCTGTTCACCCTACCCCCCAGGAAGCCCGCGGACCTGCAGAACTTGGCACCTGGAACCAACCCTCCCTTTATGACTTTTGATGGTGAAGTCAAGACGGATGTGAATAAGATCGAGGAGTTCTTAGAGGAGAAGTTAGCTCCCCCACGGTAGGCCTCCTGAAACCAATCTTCACAACTTGCTTGTTATTTTTTTCCACCTTAAAAGAAACTTCTAGAACTTTTGGCTTTGAGTGTCTGGTTTCCTGGGGCCCCGGTACCGACTTCCTCCGCCACATCAGTGGTGAACCACAGACAACACAGCACAAGATCAGATATCTGAGCTAGGGTGTCCTGGAGTTCTTTGCTCTGTGCCTGCAGTACGGCAATTAGAGCGTGGTGGCAGAAGTGGGGAGGAGATGGGTTTGGTTTGTAGGTTAGCTATTTCTCAGCTACCTGGAGTTCCTCAGTAGTGCACAAGTTTGGGATTTGAATCCACTCAGCGGCACCTCAGAAGCAAGGCTGAGTGATCTACTTCTGAAAAGTCAGTCCCTAAAAAGGCTACAGTTCCACTCTGACACACACAAAGGTACCCTAAGTCAGAGTAAATGCTATGGCAGCAGGCTATAGCGAGCTTAGGAGTTGTGGCGTTGCAGTTCAAAGGGGCTGTGCCTCTCTCACTGTTGGAATCCACTCATGACTCTGAAGGGGAAAGATGGGCAATCTTCTCCTGTGCAATTTACAGCCTCAGAAATCCAGAGGAGGTTCAACCACGAGTTGATCCTGACACAATGACAATGAGGAGGAGCTGTAATTGAAAGGTAATGTCACAGAAGGACCACCTTTAGTATGCCACCTTCATTATAGCAGGAAGGAAACAGAACCTTAAGACCAGCTGGGGACTTATATCTCAGACTGGTTTTATTTTCAGAAGGAAAGCCTATGATTCCCATGCCTTTCCTTTAAGATAATGACTTTTGAACTTGGAAGATTAAAAAAAAATTCATGAAGACATTCAAGGGGACATTTTCATTTTTATATTGTGGTTAGGTACCGTGTCAAGGTGGTCCTCAACTCACGGAAACCAAATGCATAGCAGGATTGGATCGTTCTACCCCATAATGTTTGCACTGGCTAGTTTTCAGAAGTAGATTGCCAGGCCTTTCTTCCTAGTCTGACTTAGTCCGGAAGTGCTGCTAAAACCTGTTCAGCATCATAGCAACACTCAATCCTCCAGTGACAGGAAGGTGGCACCTGCCTATGAGGTATATTGGCTGAGAATCAAGCCTAGATCTCTCATATGATATTTTCTCCCCTTTCTATTGTATTGTCCCACCTCAAAGACCACTTATTTATGACATTCTAAACTTGAACCTTTCCAGATACCCAAAGCTGGGGACTCAACACCCTGAATCTAATTCTGCAGGAAATGATGTGTTTGCCAAATTCTCTGCATTTATTAAAAACACCAAGAAGGATGCAAATGACAGTGAGTACCTCCCCATCTTTTTGTTTTCTAAAGGGATTTCCACTTGGCCTCTAGTGTGGCTTTCTGTAAAGTATCAGAAATCCTGACTCATTTCGCGGAGTGGAGAGGGCTGCCCGGAGTCCCTGGGTGTGGAAGAAGATGACACAAGGGAGATTCCAGCTGGTACATTGTTTTTTATAGATGTTTGCAGTCATTGGTTGACTGCTAGCTGGAAGGTTGGAGGTTTGATTCTACTCTGGAAGCACCTTGGAAGAAAGACCTGGTGATCTATTTCCAAAACCCAGCCCTAAATACCCCTTTAGGGCACAGCACTAATCTGTCAGTCATAGAGTCACCTTGAATTGGGGTTAGCCTGACTATAATGCTCTTGTTTTGCTTTTAAGAAATTGATACAGAAAAGAAGATGGCGGTGGGCGGGGGGGGGGGGGGAATTCTAACCTTGATCTGCATGTGGTTTCCAAGAAAACTGTTGCTTCTTCTAGAGTGTGAGAACCCAAACAATGAGAGTTTTAGGGGGAAAAGAGTCACCGTATGGATCTTTCCAGCTGTACCTTTGGGATCATGTTAAATGGTGCTTCAATCAGTGCCCACCTCCCTTTAGAATTTCAGGCAATATTTCTGAAGCAACAGATGTGTTGTAGAGACAGAATGATTTTCTAGTGTGGAGCGAGCCTTTCATTCAGAGCCCCCTTCCCAGCATCCCACTGCTGTCTGCCCAGGTCTCAATGTGAAAGGGGACCCAACTCCTTCCTCCGATGTGACACGAACTTCCATAGCCTAATTCAGTGATTTTTTTAAAAAATTCTCCTTCTCTGTTTCAGTTTATGAAAAAAACTTGCTAAAGGCCCTGAAGAAGCTGGACAATTACCTAAGTAGCCCTCTGCCTGATGAAATAGACGCCTACAGCACGGAAGACGTCACTGTGTCTGGAAGGAAGTTCCTGGATGGAGATGAGCTCACCTTAGCCGACTGCAACCTCTTGCCCAAGCTCCATATTATCAAGGTCTGCCTCCCCCCAGCGTGTACTCAACACAAGAATGGGGCTTTGTTTGATTTTGTTTTGACTTGTGTCTCAGCCAGATATTGAAGCAATCTAAAATGTGGATGCTTGAATTCAGAACTCTCACTTGTTTCTGTTTTGGCAACGAAGCCACAGGCCCAAAACTCAGATACAGAGAAGGAAGAGCTTCAGGTCTTCTCCTGAAATGCCTGAGAACCTGGCCCCGGGCCCTCCAGCTCTTCTGCTTCTCTTTCCAAGCACCACACCCCACCCCCAGGCAAAAGGAAACTTATTTAAAAGCAGTTTGAGGGACTACATTAGTCCTACTTTTAATACTTGCATGTTACTTGAGGTTTGGAGATGATGTGTGGAATCTGAAAGTTGTAAAATGTGAGCACAGTGAGTTGTGGGTGATTTGGGGGGTACACATAGCTCCTTCTAGAAATGACAGAGAAGTACCCTGTCAACTCTTAACCTATTTCTCCACAGTTAGGAACAACTGACAGACAGTCACTTGGTTGGGTTGCTGCCAGACTTGATGCCCAGTCTTCCGAGACTTTGCATTTAAAGATCTCCTGCACCTTCCTAGAACCCATCTTTCAGTTTGTTGTATGTTGGTGGCTTCGGAGTTGCTGTGATGCTGGAGTGAAAGGCCAGCAAAGTTACCCATGCACCAGACTCACAGTTGTTGCAGTGACTCACAGCGAGCCTCCACTAGGTTTCAGAGGCTGGAAATCTTGCAGGCGGGGACTGCTCGCCTTTCTTCCACAGGATTAGAATGGCTGGAGACACTTGGTCTTTTGATTGGCAGCCCACACTGTGCCCCAGTGTTTTTAGCAGAACTTTCAGATTCAGACAGATTAGCAAGCAAAGCCAGGATCCACTGCTGAAAATTAGCTCACAAAACTCCTCCGGTCACAGAATATTGCTCACGACAGTGCTGCATGAGCTCCCTGGGTTCAACTCAACCCAAATCATTACAGTCAAATTGGAACCAACCCATAGTTATAGCCTTCTAGTGGGTTTCTCAGAGGCTGTAAATTGCACAGGAGCAGGTTGCCATTTTACTACTTGAGAGCAGCTGGTGGATTTGAACTGCCCTTTATGAGCTCTGGTAGCCTAGTGGTAAGAAGTTGTGCTGCAATCTCAAAAGCACATGGTTTAAATCTACTAGTTGCTCCAGGGGGAGAGGGTGGACAATCTATTCTCATGTGATTTCTTGTTCTGAAAATCAGCCGGAGGGTCGGCTATGGGTCAGTTCTAACCCCATGGCAAATAACAACATCAACAACAAAATGTTCACAGTGGCCAAAGCAGCAGGCTGAAGCTTGACAGTGATCGCAAAGATCGAACAGGACCTGCAGCTTTTTGTTCCGTTGCCTGTGCTTGATGACAGGGCCAAGGCCATGAGTTGGAGCTTTGATGACAACTGAAAACAACAAACTAATGTTTCTCCAGCACTGGATAACTTTTAGAAATGTAACTCTTTTCTGGTGAATAACATTGGAACTTCTGAATGTGACTCTTGATTCTAAGGCAGATGGCCTCACACACTGAGCCCTCAGCGGCCCTGCCTCTGACTGGTGTTTCCAGCCTTTCCATCTCTATTGTTCATTGTCATTATAATTCTTACTGTGTCCTCAGTAGCCCCAGATATTTGATTATTAAAATTCTACCATATTGACAGGTTCTTTATATGAGGATAAGGGAAACTGAGGTTAAAACGTAAGGAAATACAAGTCAAGGAGGCTGTGTTGTCATAGCGTGTTTAATTGGCATTTAGAAATTACTAACTAGGTTCGCACGAACTGTGATGTTTATGCTCTTGAGACTCCAGCCACCCCTGGGAACTCCACACTGAATCTTAACATTTCTCTTCCTACATTTTCCTGGCTCCTTGCTTCCCTTCCCAATAATTTCTCCGTTAGCTTCTTTCTTCTGTCCTCGCTGTTCTGGATGATAGGACGCAATCTGACTTGAGCATCACCAGGGCTACCAACTCCAAATGGAAACCTTGCAGATGTTACTGATCCTCAGAGGAGTATTTGCTTCAGTTGCTTTGCCAGTGCTCTGACATCTAACGTGGAGGATTTTAAAAAAAAATAATTTTTTTGGTGTGATTTGAATGAAGCTTACAATGTGAATTGGTTTTTTATTCAGCTATTCACACATATTTTATTTTATAACATTAATTACAATGCCCACAATATATTCACATACACCCTCCCACAGTGTCATTCCTCAAATTCTCACCTCTACCAACTCTTCTATCCTACCTTTTCCTGCCGTCAGGACTTTATCCTTGGACAAATGGTGCTCTTTTGACCTGGGATCATTCACTATTCTAAGGCATGAATGCCTCTTTAGTGCTCTGGTCACCTTATAGGCCTGTCTATTGTGTGGCTGGAAACTGAGCCACAAGAGTAAGTTTTGTTCCAGATTCAAAGTGTCAGAAAGGGTTATTCTCAAGGGTTCCACCAGTCTCTATTGGACAAGCACATCTCAACCTCTTGATCAATATGAGGAGATGTTTTCCAATAGGCTATTTAAGTAGCTGTGTTTTGATTTAATTACTTTAATTGTTGGATATTGTTATTTAGATTGTGAGGAGGTAATGGATAAGAAATGAGAAGTATGAAAACCCAAAATCTCTGTAAATGTTCATTAAAACTAATAAAATTTAATTTAAAAAAAACATATCCCAAAGTGGGAGAAAGTAAAACCCAAAATAGGTAAAAGGACAAGATTTAAAAAATTATCTCTACTTTTTAAAAACAAAAACCTGAAGGATTGCTGCCATCTCAGTTGTCTGGATGTAACCATGCCTCAGAGTTTAAGTTTCTCAAAGGCAGGACTGAAATCTTCTATAGAATTTGCTCTGTAATAAAGAATCCTAGTTGCTGGACAGTGATAAAAATGGCAGAAGTCGGGGCAAGCCGTGCATTCGGCCCCCAGCAGGCGGTGGGGTGAGCTGTATGTTTGGCCCCTAGCAGGGCAAGCTGGCCCCTCGGGGTGAGCTCCTCAGCCCTCGGATTGTACCATCCGACCCCTGGGTAGAAAAAACTGCCTAGGGTATAAAGAGAATTTTATCGAGGCTACTTTCCTTCACCCTCTCCCCCAGTACACCCGTAAGTAACACCCCCAAAAGCCCTTCTATTTGTAACTCACAAGTTTGTTCTCTCTAGATTTTCTCCCTTTTCTATAGGTAACCTTAAAACTGAGTTTTACTCCAGACCTAATCCTGAACCCAGTTCCAGAGACAAAAAGGAAATACAATGGCCAGTTAAGAAAGCAAAGGAGGATGGAGCCTCAGGGTTCAGTCAGCCATCCCCACTGGACCCACCTGGGAAAACACTTTGCAGTCCAGAGGGGAGTAAATGTCAGGAAAACATCTTCTAATAGAACAAGAAGGCAAGCAACTTCAAGGTGGTAAAATGTGCTCCCTTTTCACCTTCACATTAACACCACTGTTCAGCATGAAGAAGCCAGAGAGTCTGCACCCAATTCCCAAATGAGAAACCCACAAGTGATAAAGACCGTTTGTTTAATCACATTGGACTATGCTTACCATTGCCCTGAATCATCCGGTCCCCACTGGATCCTTTTCATTTCCTTCACCGCCTCCCCCCACCAACCAAATTGTGCAGCATTGCATCTCTCCAATTTTCATCCCTGCCAATCCTCACCCTTCTGCTCCCAACCCTCACCTCCGTGTATCCCCAATATGTTTTTCCCAATAAAATTTAAAAGAAGAATGGATAAAAAAAAGAAAGAAATGAGAAGTGTAGATATTGAGATGTAGATGCTAATGCCCTAGTTTTCTTATAATAAGGAGTTAACAAATGACCTTAAAAGTTGCTAAAATTTAAGAAATAGAGAATGCCTAACACTTCAAGTTAAAGGAAAACTGGAAGAGGTAAACTTGCAAAATAACCAGAAATGGAAATACATACCTGTCCACATATATATGCACATACACAAAGCAAGGAAAAACAAAGTGTTAAAGTGAAAAAAATAATATAAGAACAAGATCACATCTATGAGAAACACACAATTAACAAAGTTACTCAGAATCATTTACATAAAAACACATTGTTGTTGTTGTTGTTGTTGTGAATAAAAGGCCCAAAGCCTTTAGGCAGAGGTAAACCAGACAAATGAAAACATGACAGGAGAGTTCTAAATATTACCATCAGTGTGATCCATGTCATACAAATAGTTTGAACTTTCAGAAAGCTTTATGAAAGTGGTAAGATCCAGTTTTATGGCCAAATAACATAAGTGACTGAGAAAAAAACACCTCACTGACATTGTTTTCAGGTGCCCTTGAGTTAATTCAAAGGACTCTTGAAGCTCTGCTCAATTCTGTGGTACCCTCACAATCTCTGTGTCTTTAAGCCCATTGTCTCAGTCGTTGCACCAGTCCATCTAGTTTGAAGGTCTCTTCTCCTCTGACTCTACTTTGAGAAGCATAATGTCTTTCTCTAGGCCTCATCCCTCCTGATACCATGATCCAAGTGTGTGAGGAATCTTACTACCTTCACTTCTGAGAAACATCCTGACTGTACTTCAAGGCAGATATCCCTCTCCCCCAATTCTGGCAGTCCGTGGCATATTCAATATTCTTCACCAATCCCACAATTGAAAGACAAGCAATTTTTCTTCTGTTTTCCTTATTGACTGTCCAAGTTTTGCATGTCTATGGTTGTTGTCATGTGTCGTTGAGTCTGAATTGACCCATAGTTGGTGAGTTTTCAGATCAGTTAGTTGCACAAGAGGAGATTGCCCATCCTTCTCCTGCAGAGCAGCTGGTGGATTCAAACTCCGTGCCTTCAGGATTGCAACACAGCTTCTTACCAATTGAAACTCTATAGCTTAGTCAAGAGGAGCACTTCAGTGCTCAAAGTGATATCCTTGCCTTTTCATGTTTTATAAGTCTTTTGCAGAAAAACTATCCAATACAATACATTGTTTAACTTAACTGTTGGCCCCATGAGCATGGA